TTCTAAAATTAATGTAGAAATGTGTTACTAATTCTGCGTTGTATTGAACATGAAGCGTGGTACTTTGAAAATGTTAAATAGTTTGTTTATCATAATAAATCATATTTTGATGTGACAATATTTATGATTTTTGTTAAACTATTTTAATTTATTTTTGTTCAATAAAAGTTAATAAGTAAAAGGGACGTTAATTTTGCCGCACCTTGCATATATTTATATAAAAACCATTGTATTTTGTACACCCTTAAAATAAACGAACAGATTATTTTTTTTAGAAGATAGCGTTTTCAAAACAAACTGTCTTTGTAATTAGAGTGCTTGGTATTATACGACAGAAAGTTGATAATAATAAAAAATAGATAAAATTAAATGTTCACTTATCTTGTCTCTAGTCTGAGTTTTACGAATATTATACCCACTCTACAGGAGAATTGTATTTATTTATAAAATCATATTGTCCTTAAAATTTCAAGGAACGTTTTATGAATTCTGAAATCAATTTAAATTTTAACGATTAAATTTTAAGGAAAAAAACTGGGACAGTTCGTGGTTGTATTCATCAACTTACTGGTAATTCCTGCGATGGAGCTGGAAGCATGGGTATTGTCGGCATTTGACGTTCCATTGGAAGCGACGTGAAGAGTGGAGATCTACTGCTTCGGTAATGGCCTGTTCTTTATATCTACTTACCAAGGCCCTAAGCACCTTAGAGGCGAGAAATAGTAATTATGATGCTGCGCCTGATACATCATCCAGAGTACAACTCCATGGTCTCCCGAGATTGATAGATAGCTAATCTAATCTAATAAGAGAGAGAGAGAGAGAGAGAAGAGAGAGGAAAGAGGAGAGAGAGAGGAGAGAGGAGAGAAAGAGGAGAGAGGAGACAGAGAGAGAATTGAGAGGAGAGAGGAGAGAGAGAAGAAAAAGGAGAGAGAGGAGACAGAGAGAGAAGTGAGAGGAGAGAGAGAGAGAGAGAGAGAGAGAAGAGAGGAGACAGAGAGACAGAGAGAGAAGTGAGAGGAGAGATGAGAGAGAGAAGAGAGAGAGGAGAGAGAGAGAGAGAGAGAGAGAGGAGAGAGATATTTTAAAGTGCTCGAGGCACATCTGTTGAACCACACATATAGGAAATACCATAATACACTCTTAAATACAGTGGCATATGTAATCTAATGGACGCACTCCTTTGTCAAAAGCTGAGAAGCGATTAACGGATAGATGCATTGATATTGAGCTAAATTAGCAGATAATGAGGTAGGCAGATGGATAGATCGATGTTGAGATCTACTGATGCATAACTAGTGAGGTATAGAGATTGGCAGTACTGGTCTCCGGAATCCACCGGTTTTAAGAATCAGCGTCAAAGTTCTAGTTTTGCGTAGATTCAAACCAAATAATTGGTTTTGATACTAAAGTCATTTGCGCTCCAAGAAAGCTGATATCGGAAAATAGATTGGCATATTTATCAAAATTAGATAAGCATAGTAAAAGAGCAAATCACTTAAAGAAAGAAAGGTAATGGTACAATTAGGAAGTGGCAACCTGTTGCGAAACCACTGGTGTCGGTAGAAAGTACTTAACTAATTCAGTCATAATAGCAGGTTCTAAGTATTAATATCTACTCTGTTTAAACTAGTCGGACACAAGGCTATAAGTATGAGCATCCGGTATATATCGGACTCAGTACGGTAGTATTTGCGAGACTAGTTTGCTCTATGGCCAACAAACTATATCTTGATTTTTAATTAACTTTATTTACCATATTACAAAGCGAAATGGAGAAGTAAGAAAGAATGCATTGTGTTAATATTCTAAGTGGCGGGGGGGATTTGTCTGTATTCAAAACAAGCATTCAAAATTCAACATTCGATATGAATTGAAAGAATAAAACTGAGATCGGAAACAAAAGTTAGCCAGGCGGATGGACAGGCAAAGATTGAATGAGAAACCAAGAAAAATGACAGATAAAAGTAGAATAGACAAAAAGATATATAGAAAGAGACTGAGATTGAGAGAAAGATTGATATAGACCAAATGAGATAGATAAAAAAGAGACGTCCATTTGAGATAGATAGATAGATAGATAGATAGATAAATTGAATGAGGAACGGTAGATATAAACAGACTAAGATACTTTGATGATAGATAATGAACAAACTTAGATTGATAGCTAACGCGATAGACATATTGAAGAAGGGAATGTAGATAAAACATAGATAGATAGATGGATAGATAGACTGACAGATTGAAAGAGGGCAAGTAGATAAAACGCATATATATATATATATATATATATATATATATATATATATATATATATATATACAGACACAAACACGCACATATATATAGATAGATCGATAATGAACAAAGCGTGATAGATATATTGAAGGAGGTAAGGTAGGTGAAAAGACTAATATAGATCGATAGATAAATTGATTGAAGGAGGGAAGGTAGATCAAAACAGTCTAGGATAGATTTGATGAGAGGCAATGAAAAAAAAAGACTAATGCATATTTTATGATAGATGGATTGAAGGTGGGAAGGTAGATAAAACAGACGAAGGTGGATTCCATGATAGATAGATAGATAGATAGACAGATAGATAGATAGATAGATAGAAGGAAGGAAGGAAGGAAGGAAGGAAGGAAGGAAGAAAGATCTAGAGGCTTGGAGTAAGGGATAGTGAGAGATGGAAAAAGGAAAAAGATGAACACTTGCTTCTAACCTATCATGCAATATTTTCAATTTAAATTGGATTTATTGATATTTCTCTCCCCACCCTCGCCTTCAGTCTATATTTGGACATTCCATCGGCCGCCACATTAGATCTGTCATTCGACTCAAACTAACGGCACCAACCCGTGTCGACAATTATTTACAGTATAGTTATTTTTACAAAGCCATTCGTGTGTCGTGTGTCCGTGTGTACGTCTCGGAAGAAACGAACATGTAATTAAAAAATAACGTGTTGTGTAACAATAAGATAGCTTGCTTCAAAAAACAAACAAAAAAACAAAAAACAAAAAACAAAAACGAAACAAAAAACAAAAAAAAAACTCAAAAGCAAACAGTTCAAAATGGCAAGGCTTTTGTTGTGATTGGTGAAGTAAAAACAAATTTTGACTTTGTTCTATTTTCGGCGACATTTTAGTTTTAAGTTTTCTATCAGCCCGAAGAGAACATGTCGGTGATTTTCCTCAGATTCCTCGTACGATGGCTTCTACGACGGCAGCTTGAAGCACACCGATTCTCCGTCGCTTGAAACTATGTTTTTTTTTTAAGCTACTATCCTGAATTAATTATAAGCTGGTATTGTTTTTTTAAAAAAAAACGAAGTTAAGCAACGTCGAGTCTACTGAGTACCTAGATGGGTAACCGCTTGGAAATACCTGCTGTAAACTTGGATCTTGGATAATGGCTCGGAATTGTTAATCGGTGAACAGAGTTCCAATTCCCGTTGGGTTCGTTATATTCACTTACGCCCAAATACCTGAGGGAGAGGTATGAAACTACCTTTCCGTCACCCCAGCTATGGGTTAATTTTAAGACTTGCATCACAAAATTATTATTATCTCCCCACAAAAATTTCTTTCAGTCTAAAAATATTTTCTGGCTTCAAATAATCTGATAAGCTGTAGAAAAAGAATCAATAAAAATAATTAATATCAACCGCAAAAAACAGCATTAATTGCAAAAATAAAACTCCGCTTTTAATTATAGATTTATAAAAATCCAGTAATAATTATAGGTTTATAAATATTTTATATTAATTAAAGGTTTATAAAAAAAAACAATAAATAATAATTTATTGGTTTCTATGAAAATCCAGTATTAATTGCAGATTCATAGAAATCCAATATTAATTATAGGCTTCTAAAAATTCAGTATTAATTATAGGTTTATAAAATTCTGTATTAATTATAGGTTTTTAAGAAAATTCTGCCTCTACTTTTATTCTTTTATATTTATTCGAACCATTGTCCCCATTTTAATTACTACTGATATGATTATTATGCTCCTATAGACACAATTTTTCAGCCAATCATCATTGTTTTGGTTGTTATTAGATAGCTGTTATGTTATTTTGTTCTCGCTGAACACTTCCTGATCCAGAGATTGAAGTCTAGATCACTAGATGATAGTAACTACGTTTCCCATGGATATTTGAGCGAAAGCGAACGCAACGGTCCCGATTGGAATTTGGAACCGATACGACAACTTATATTCACTGCATTTATCTTTGCACTATCATCAACTTTGAAGGGACCGATAATTTGGGGCCTTACAATGCAAGCCCAATACATTACCTTCCTCCTGTTATATTCTAAGTCGCGTGGATTCATTATTTACAAGAAAGATCCAATCTACAAGCCAACCATTTGAGCCAACTAATGTAGCTTTACATTCAGCAGTAAAAATTAGTGTTAAATCAGTTTTTGTGCACAGCTTTGCCCATCTTGCAAGTTTCTCTTTGTGATGTTTACTTAAAGGTGATAGTTTGGTTGATTTAATGTCTTCAAAACGTATTCTTTATATTCAGTATGTTTTCGCTCTGTTTAAATTCGTAACACCAGTTTCTTTACATATTACTTTTGCTAGTCAATTCCATTTTAGTGTTTATTATACTTTTAATTATTCTTTCGTGACATTCTCAAAGACAGTTTTCTCTCTGTTCTTATCTTGCTCGTGTTTTTAATTACTTTCCTGATTGTTCAGTTTGGTTTGGTTTGGTAGTTTTGTTTAACGGCATATCAACAACTCTATGGGTTATTTAATGCCGAAATCTAAATATTTTATACACAATTTTTATTTTTTGAAATATTAATAATTTAGTGTTACAAGTCTTACTAATTAACCCATAGCTGAGGGAGAAGAGGTAGATTCAGGCCTTTCCCAACGATGTTTGCGTATAAGTAAATATAACGAACTTAGAAACTTAAACTCGGCTCTCCGGTTGACATTTCCGAGTCATTATTCATTATACCACCTGCACATCCAGACTTACAGTACCTGGTATTCTCAAGTAGTTACCCAGCTAGGTACTGACCAGGCTCGGCGTTGCTTAACTTCAGCGATCGTATGGAAACCGGTGTTTCAACGAATTGCAAAATTGATTGTGTAGTGACCCCTGTTAAAATTCTCACAATTTCCAACGTTCTGTTCATAACACTCAATAATTTTATATTTTCTTTCACTGCCGATGTTATATCTTTCTTACGGACATCGTCAATATATATGAATTATCTGTGATCTCCGTGTAAATTGTATAATCCCAAAATGTCAAATATATTACTGTAAATATTTCTAATAAAAAACATATATAAGCTGACATTCGCATATAATATTTATCATAAAACCATATCCTGAAAGAATTACCAATATTGACTGGCTAGTAACAATGTGAATATGAAAAATCTGATATAGTTTATATATATTTAAGTCAGGTTGTTTAACTGTTTCATGACAATATTCATCCTTTTGGCAATCATTAACTTCGTATCCTTGAAATATCTATCTATCTATCTATCTATCTATCTATCTATCTATCTATCTATCTATCTATCTCAGTCTTTTCTAATCTATCTATCTCAGTCTGTTCTGATCTATCTATCTATCTATCTATCTATCTATCTATCTATCTATCTATCTATCTATCTATCTATCTCAGTCTGTTCTAATCTATCTATCTCAATCTGTTCTGATCTATCTATCTATCTATCTATCTATCTATCTATCTATCTATCTATCTATCTCCATGTATTTGTAACTTTGTGGATGAATTTGATAATGTTAAATACAATTGATTTAAACAAATTGAAATCTATCCATGGGACCCAAAATACGTCTCTCTCTATATATCTAGCTTCAATTCTCATCTATCTATCTATCTATCTATCTATCTATCTATCTATCTATCTATCTATCTATCTATCTATCTATCTATCTATTCTCCCGGCGAATGCAATGATTTGATTTTAGTGGTGAAGGCTTGTATAGTATCAGTCAGATTCTCAATACGCACTTTTATATATATTATAAAAGGGGTCACTGAAAGATTCTCAGGAATGTGGAAAGGGACTTCAAAATAAATTTCGATATTTGATCGTTTGGTCAGATTTTGGATATTGGATCAAGCCAAAGACTTTTCAGGAACACTCATTCATATATATATATATATATATATATATATATATATATATATATATATATATATATATATGTATGTATGTGTGTGTGTGTGTGTGTGTAGTGTAGTGGAGTTAATTGATCTGTTGATGTATACAGGCAGACAGACAGATATGAATAGACTGCAATAAATATAATATTCTATTTCGTATTTCCATAGATTTCTATGATGCATGATTGCTTTGTGAAGTCATTCATTGAAACATCTACAAGTTTACTAAGTCACGCAAACAAATTCAACAGAGCATCCATCAATAGTTCTCCCGCCTTCGCCAACTTAAGCTACCGTTCACCTTTATCTGTGCAGAGTTATCGCCCCTGTCAGCTTTTCTTTCCTTCGCCTTTCAAACATGCACCCTAAACTGACCGAGTATATTGTTCACGCTTCGGTCTTCGCCATATTTCACCTGTTCGCGCTTGAGGGCCGCTTGATGCCACTCTTTCCATCCCTACTGCCGGCGTAGCTACTGGCTTGTGTCCATCCGGACTTTCAAGAGTCGTTGTAAGAGTGTCGATTCAGGTTCGAGCCCTGGGGTCAGTGGTTTTAGAAACGTGCTGTCTTTATCATGTTCTGTCTTCTACTGCTGTTGATAAAATGAAATGATGAAATCGATAATATGGACTCGAGGCCGAGCATTCATTTCTATTTACAATCTTCAATCTCTTCTAAGACGTAACATTCGTGTAGCGAAAGAAAAGAAAAAAAAAACGAATGAAGGTTCCTTGCTTTAATGCAAGGTAATAGTGGGTGTCTGCTGGAAGGGACGTCATTCAGGTTCGAATGACGCAAACCACTTCCGGAAAACCACTTTGATTGTTTGGGAAGTGGGGGATTTAATACGAGGAATATCCGAAAAGTTACGTACAGATATTAGGTATAAAATAAAATAAAGGTAATAATAATAATAATAATAATTATTATTATTATTATTACTACTACTACTCTTCTTGTGTATTCATCATGTGGCCTGTCTTGAGTGTTTTAACCTGGCGACGCCGATCCCTCTCCAGATTAGACCATGGCCGATGTCGTCTAAGTAGCTGGATCGCCTTGTTCGCAAACACGTGGCCGTTGTACAGGGTGCCCGTAAAATGAGGACACATAGGCGAAAATGCATATTTTCAAGAAATTAAAATTTCAATAACATTTTATGGAAGTGGAATATTAAAAATAAGATCTTTAATATGATTCCCATCATTTGTATTGCAAAGGTTGATGCTCTTTGCAAGATTCACGTGAACTCTATACAATAAATCTAGATTGCCGTCAATTTTACTACATTCCCTCTTTATGCGTTCAGTCAAGCGTGTTGCATCTGTAATCTTCATTGAGTACACCTTCTCTTTTAGCAGACCCCAGACCAAGAAATAAATTCTTTCTTCTTTCTATGTTTAATCTGTGGAGATAAAAAAATATAATTAATGAGATTTCCTATGTGTCCAGACATTAGGATCACCCTGTAGTTCATCTGAGGAACACCTTCCTCCCTGGCTAGTGATTTGCGTTTTTCGCCCAGTGGTGCTGTAGTAGCACCAACCCCTAACATGAGTTTAGCCTGCCAGCTGGAAAGCTATACCGGGGCATGGCAATATATATATATATATATAACGTTACGACTATGTATTAAATCAATATATTAGGTATAAATCGAATGGAATTAAAAGATTGTGAAAGCAATAAACAAAAACTATTGATGTGGTGTTGGTTATACCAAGCGTCTTGTAACGGCTAGAAAACCTTTAATATTGAGTGCATGCGTATGTGACCGCTCAACAAAGACAATAATCACTATGAAACTTTGGCTAAACAGAGGTACCAGATGTAATAAGATTTTTGCATGCCATCGGCTAAAATCCAAACTTTCTATCACAAAGCAATTAACTAAAGAATACAAATTCTAGCGAACTGGCATTTCTTTTCAGTTTTGGGTACGTATATGAGAGAAGATGAAAGATATGGGTGATAATGATAACGTAACTCTATAGCTAAATGTTGATTCCATGACAAGCAACACCTATCGTCACCGATCTCTCTCAAAATTGAAAGGCAAGCTGTAAGCGAACAAATTCATGGCAACTGAGTTCTGTGATGGAAAAAGGTTTACAGCTCGTGATATACCTCATGGTCAGGCACAGAGAGGGAAGCCGTTTGTAGAAAGCATCAAAATGTTTGCATAAATGTGTCATCGTACTGCACGACAATATCTCTCTACACACGGTTTACCGTGGCATAGCAACTTGGAGCCATCGTGTGAAAGATTTAGGAAATGGTTGATGACCAGTGATGACCGTCCATCCGATGGTGCAGTGTGCTAATGTACTACCTCAATCCAGACTCCCTATGCCTATATATATATATATATATATATATATATATATATATATATATATATATATATAAAGAAATAAAAAACAGAGGGATGATGATTGCAATTTAAGGGTTAATTTTAATTTTAAGGGTTCATGTAATTTATTTCCTTAGAATCGAAATTCGATTCTAATTCCTCAGATCAACATTTTCATACAAATCTCTCTCTCTCTCTCTCTTTCTCTCTCTCTCTCTCTCTATATATATATATATATATAATGAGGACAGACGAACAGACGATCCTTAAAAATACATTTGGTTATAATCTATTTCATAGATATACTTCTCTTCAGACCGAATCTTTTTAATAAATGGAATCAATTTATTCAGACGAAAGAAAAAATAAAAATAAAAGGAAAATAAATTAATATTAAAAGAGGAAGAAAGGAAAATAAAAATTTCAATATAAGGTTTTAAAAATTGGGGGTGGGTAAGAGAGAAGGAGAGAGGGAGAAGAGTGGGGAGGGGAGAGAGAATGAGAGACTGAGAGATGGAGGGAAAGAAAAGAACGGAAAGAAGGAAGATTTAGACATGATCCAGTAGAGTAACCTAGATATGATGTTTTCTTTAAGGACTGAACAAGTTAAAATACAAGGTAAGGGAGGAGAATGATCAGATTTAAAATAAATACATTGAATTGTCTGATATTCATGTCTTTTTCGACAGCGAAACAATCATCATCACATTATAATCATCACAATTTCAAATTGATAATAATAATAATAATAATAATTGACATCAATAAAATAAAGTGAAAATAAAACATTAAAATAAAAAATTAAAATATATAAAAATGCATGAAACAAATACATAAAAATTTACATAAAAATATTAATTAATAAAATAAATTAAATAAATTAAGAAATAAATAAAGAACAATTTTAAGGAACTTAAAATATGCACACACACACATATATATGGATAGATAAGGATAATAATAATAATAAAGATGATATAAAAATATAAATAATTGATACTGTAAAATTATAAATAGGCAAGAAAGTCACACAAATGTTCATATACAAAAACGTGAATACATATAAGTATACATGTTAGTAACGATATAAAACAGAATCGACGCTTTAAGTGTAAATTCTCCAAAATTAATGTTATTAGGGAATTTAAAATCTGTTCTTGTGTCTACACTTGAAAATAAGTTCGTTCCTTTGGTTCAATAATTCTTCAGCATTTTTCTACTTAATCATTATGATTTTTTCCTGTATGCATAGATTGCATCTGCCCCGGGAGTTGCTGGGAGTTTGAGATTGACAAATGATCCTCCATTTAATTTGTGGGGTGAAGCCTCCGTCTTTAAGATTCCAAGACAGAACAGTTATCTTAAAGAAGCATTGGAGAAGGGATGCCGGTGATTGTAAAGTCTCCACTTCCGACTCCCAGCGGATATCGCTATGTATACCTTTTTCTCATTGATATTTTCTTTCGGAAAAATGATAGCTTCGTATACTACATTTTCAGAATTACAAATGCCTCCAACTGGGCAGTTAGTTCCGGTTTTACAATTACAAGGAGGCTTGTTGTCTTGTGTTTCGCTGTCATAATTTTAAAAAATAATAGGTTGTTGTGTGAGATAATAATATTGTGTATATTGTTAGTGCAGGAATAACTGATTTCTATTGAAAATTCTTTTTGGAGGGTTGTTATGATTAAAATGTTTCTCGATTAAATTTAGAAAATATCTGCCAATATTTATATTAGATGATTTAAAGAAAGGTGGATTAAATCATGTTGCCTTTTTTTGGATTTTGGTTTTATTAGTTGTATTGTTTTTCAAAGTTTCCTGGCAAACTAATTCTTGTATGAAATTACATTTTTATCATTTGATATCACACACACACACACACACACACACACACACACACACACACACACACACACACATATATATATATATATATATTGCACTGGATGTCGGAGTGAACAGTTACTCATCAAGAGTAACGATATGGTTGCGACAATTTATTACATGCACGGCGTACTACTGACTTGGCTCCTTGAGCTTATCACCCTGTCTAAATCTCTCAAACGATATTTATCCGGAGAGTGGTTACACAGAGATGATAAACCTCCAGTTGAACGTCCACTTGATTGACGCCAAGTTTTTCAATGGCGGTAATTATGCATTTATTCACCGGTTTGACATGCGCATCAATCACAATGGCGACTCGATGGTGGAAAAGAAGCATAATAACGGTGGTAATATATTAAATAAAATATTATTTGTATCATAAGAAACATAATGGATAAGTAATTGTTTGTAACTTACTTCATAGCTTCTTAAAAGAGAATTGGTAAGAACTTGACCTACAGTTTAGAACAAAAGTATTAGCACTACATCTGAAAACTGAATAAAAAAAAATCTGTAGTGTTTCTTAACAGAATGAGAAGTTTTTTTAACACA